GGTTGCGGATTGATTTTTTCCAATCTGCCTAGTTTTGGACGGATGGCGGATTTGAGGTTCCTTTGGCCGTAACCGAACTGCCAAACCGCGAGCACCCCTCGTAATATATAAGACTTTGTGTTTTCAATTTGTTTAGATATTCTGTTTGTGTTTTCAATTAAAAAAGAGTTTAGATATTCTGTTGTGTTTTTAATTTGAAAATATTTTTATTAAATGGCAAGTGTTGATATTTGATATTTTTGTGTGGAAAATATAAGGCTTAATTTTGTCATTTTAAAAAAAAAATCAAATTAAATAGTTTTCGAATCAAAAACAGTAATGAAAATGGCTTTCTTATATGTTTTTATTATTGGTATTTGACAATTTACTTGATAATCTTTTGATTATGTTAAGTTGGATTGTTATCCAAAAAAAAATGTCGATAAATTATTTGTATTATGTTCAAAATTTGTAAAAGTTTAAACCGCCAAACCGAATATTATCCATCCGTTAATCCGCTCAATCCACATCCGCCAATCCAGTAGATGGATGCGGGATTGATTTTTTTCCAATCCGCCAATCCGGTGGACGGATGGCGGATTGGAGGTTCTCCAGCTGCAACCAAACCACGAACACCCCTATTTCGAGGTGTGATTCGCTTATTTTGAAGATGCTTCAATCCGCAGAGTATGAGCATCTACGTTGATGATGATGATGATGAATTGTGAATCTGTTAAGGTCGTCTATATTAGGATGATTAGCTCTGTGTATCCATGAAAGCACCGTGTCTTTTATTCATGTTGTTGTGATTTAGCACCAAAGCTAGTGTCAATTGTAGTTTTTCTTTTTTTTTTAATTTGGATTCCGATAATAATTGTTCTTCAAAAACTATTTTGCTTTTGGAATTCCCTTGCTTTTACTTTCATGCCTGATAGCCTGTAATTTTTTATTCTATTCCGAGGTTGATTCAAGAATGTTCTTTTTTTGTTGTTGTTGTTTTGGATTATATTGGTTTGATTCATTCTATCAAGTTGATATCTTGCTTTTATATTGACAAAAATAATTACAAATTAGTGATAAACTTTATAAATATTAATAATTAAAATCATAAAATTTTTCACCTGTGTAATTATTTTTTTTAAATTACACTGGGGTGTAATTGCCCCTTTTTTTAAAAGAGGTTCAACAACCTTCAAAATGTTGACATCGCAGCTTATTTTAGTCCCAAGGTGGTTATTGAATAAAATTCTTATCAACTGGTATGGTTTTTGAAGCATTTTTATTTATTTTAATCTTTTAACAATTAAAGTATTGGCATGATTTTAACAATTAAAACATTAGTATGATTCAAGACTGCAAAGAACTTAATACTTCACAATATTAGTATTTTTGTTAAACTTTTGTTTGATGGTACATGTAGGTTGAGTTATGTCAAGTTTATATTGTTATGTTTCTAATTGTGCCGAAAGCTCCTCGTGTTTGAATAATTGAATGCAACATTGTGGTGTTTTCTTAATTTTGACATTGATACATGCTTAGAAATGTAGTAATAGGTGTAATATCAATTTAGCCATAGACTACTAGATTTATTATGTTCATCAAAAACAAATAATTTAAATTTAGTGAGATGTCAAATTCATTCCTACACAAGGTTGTTAAGATCGTGATCCGGATCGTAGGATCGTACGATCCTATGACCCAATATACAGCATTCGATCCGACTCGCACTTTGGATCGACTCCAGGTCAGGATCGTGGTGGGATCGTAATAGAGTCGTTGGGATCGGTGGGATCGTTTCTGGATCGCGACTCTGTGCGATCCAGATTTGAAGCTATTTTTCGCAACTTAAAAGCAAAATCGGGAGTACACAGACAGCGACGCAGAGAAGCAAAGCAAGCAGAGAAGCATACCTTGCGATTAGGGCAAATTTCAACGGCAAATTTCTGAATTTGAAGCCACAATCAACCAGGTATGCTTCTTCCTTCTTCTTCGAATCTTCTCTTCCTCTCTTCGTTGCTTTCTTTGCTGTTTCTTACTCTCTCTTCACTACTCTTTTCGTTGTTCTTCTGCTGCCTCTCTCTTCAAATCTCCTCTCTTTCTTCGTTGCTCAGTTCTCTTTCTTTCCCTTCACTGAGCTGCTTCGCTTCTTTTTGAGCTGCTCTCATTTTGTGGTTGGAATCAAACTTTTTTTTTTCTATAAAATATATATTAGTGTATATTATATATATTAATTGTTTTTTTTTTTTGGTTCTCATTTTGTTCTCTTTATATATATGTTTATGTTTTTTGTTCTCTTTTTTTTTTGTGTCTCTTTTTTTTTTTTTTTTCTTTTTTTTCTGTAAAAATAATCAAACTCTTTGCTGTTTTTTGTTCTCTTTTTTTTTTTTTCGTTCTCTATATATTAATTGTTCTCATTTTTTTCTGTAAAATATATATTTTGTTCTCTTTAAAATATATATCAGGACACCAACTTATACACTTGTGTATTCAACTCTCTTCCTTTATGCTCCTCCAGTCTCCTATTTATGCACTTGTGTATTCAACTCTCTTCCTTCATGCACTGCTGTTCTTCTTTATTTATTTTTCCTTCGGCGACCATGATGACTTTATTTAGTCTTTTATTTGTTCTTCCTTTATTTAGTTTGGCTTGTTTTCATTAAGAAACAATGACAATGGTGTGCAAGTGATATTTGTTTTTATTATGTTTTTGACTTCTTTTTTTGGAAAAATATGTTTGAAAGGTACCTTGAATTGCTATATTTATTTTTTTGGGGCTTATTCTATATATATTTTGGTAGTATTAGTTAGTCATATAAAAATTATTGCATTTTTTTATCATTTTAGTAGGATCTTACGATCCTCAATCCGATCCTACGATCCGATCTGACAGACCCCAAAACGATCCTATGTAGGATCCCGATCTTAACAACCTTGTTCCTACATATGGGATTTTTTTTTCATTTCTTTTTGTTTGCTTGTTTAGAATTTTTCTTCCATTGAAAAGATGGATAAGTGAATATTGACTGACCCAAGGGCACAGCTAGATGGTGGATTTGATGGCCATGGATCTCGTGGATTTTTTTATTGGTTTAAATGCATTCATAATTTCTAAGCTTATTTCTTTCGATGGGATAAGTGAGAAACGAGGAGATAATGTACTACTAATGATTGTGTTATATCTTAGATTTTAAATATTTGAACAGTCTCATCACTGATAAGTTGTGATTGTAAATCTGATAGTAGTTCATTATTTACTTTGCTAGGACTTTATATTGCTTTTCCTGTTTAGTTCTAAAATACTTCATTACAACTTGAGGAAAATTGTTTTGAAGTTTGTTTTGCCTTTTAAGTTTTGTTGCCAATAGTCTGTTTGGATTTTCTCAAGTGTGACCTTTTTTTTATATGATAAAATTGATCTTTTTAACAGTTTTTTTCTTTAGCCTTCTATGAGGAATCAAATGTATTTTGATCACGAAAAAAGTGTGAATGTGATAATTGTTGGTATTTAGTTTGGTAATTGCAAGTAAATTGAGTGACACACTGGTGCTTTTTATCAAGAAGAGTTATGTTAGAATTTTATTATGTTCAATTCCTCTTAATTCATAGTTATTGGTTTTCTTGTTTCTCATAAGTATTTTGATGTTATTTTTTCTGTTATGATTTCTTTTAGCTGATTTTTTAAAACGAATTCAAGCGTTTGAGTGGTTTTGTTGCAGGTGATTGATCCGCATTAGAAATGTGTGTTGGTGGTTGGCTGTTTCATTCTAAATTGGATGATTAGTCTTCTTCTTCTTCTTCATCTTCTTCTTTTAAACAAGCTAGGATGATTATTCTTTTTTACCAAAATATTCAGTTATCATTTCTCGAAGGGATTGAAATTTGCTAAAGCGAAAGGCTTACCCAATTGTGATACTAATTTAAAAACATTACCACGTGTGTTGTTTTGACATGTATATCTTTGCTTATGTTGAACACAATAATATTTTTATTTCTAAAATTTGCTATTTGAATTTTAATTCTGAAGTTTGCAAAACTTAATTTGCTATTTCAACTTCTTATGCGTGAAGTTTTAAATTGGAGTGAAATTGTTATCATTTTAAATTGATTTATTTTAATTGAGTTCTCTAGAGCGTGTGGTATCAAAAAAAAAAATTTGTTGAAAGCGCCTCTAGGCATAGGTTTCGAGTATCATTATAAAACAAAGTTTAGAAAGTGCCTTTTGTTGACTATAATGTCTAAAGCCTTGTTTTGATAATGTTGATGAAAGAGAATGAAAAACCTTGGTGGTATTGTCCTTAGACTAGGTATCCCCCAAGAGGATGTGAGATAGAAAAGATGCGGTTGGGTGTAGAATCAATGCTTTGAAATGCACAAAGCCTCTTGCATTGGTAAAGTATGAATAGGTGTTGTTTATATCCTTTTGTAAATAATCACAACCATTCAAAATAGGTGCAACCCCTTGAAGGGTTATGTTTTTTCCACTGACAAGACAACCGCTTGGATTGATCACTTCCTAAACCTACCCTATCTCTCATATGTGAAATAATTTCCAATAAACCATTTTAAGAGTCCTGTTTTATTATAGTTTAATGTATATCTTGTAAATTCATTCTATGTCCATTTTGGCTTTCCTCTTGTACTTAACGGTGCATTCATCTGGAACAATAGACCATCAGTATGCTAGTCAATTTTTATTATTTGGATGCCCCTTGTGCTCATAAACATGTAAGCTGTCCATACCTCGTAATCATTGTTAGTTTCTAAGTTCTATCCTTGGGAGTCTTTTCATGACAAGATCAGAATATTAGAGCTTTGACAGTGCTTTGAATTGATCTAAGTAGATTTTCTACAACCATTATGGTGTTCTGGAGTTGCAAGGCTATAGAAACTTCCAGCTTTGAATAACTCCAAACATACAAGGAAAAATATTAGAATTAAAGAAAAAAAGGAAAAATGAAACAAACAATGTAACAAGAATAAAGTCTATATTTGGAAATTGATTTCGTTCTCTTTATGTACAGGTTAAGAAGAGAGAATAAATTTTAAGAAAAGCAAAGGTTGTTGTCCTGATACACACAGTGAAAAGAAGCTAATTGCCAAGACATATCTACAAGAAAGCTTAGAAGCATTTTCAGGAACAAAGCTGCACAAGCAACTAAAGTCCAATGCTGACGAAGCTCAGATCAGTTTTACTTCCAGCAGTTGAGAAACAGCATTTAACAGCAGAATTCCATACCTGGGAAGCTTTACTTGTCTTGCTGTGGAATACCATAAAGTTGCACACAAATTTTCATGTAAATCTGAATTCTGAGTTGGCTCATTGACATGGTTGTTTAGATTTCCAGAGCTTGTTAATACAATGGCTATTTGATGTCTACACTGTAATGTGGTGGTTGACCAAGCCTATATTTGAAACTGTCTTTTGAGCCAGTCGTTTTTAATTAATTTCAAGACTACTATATGTTATTCATCTTGTCCTTCATTGCTCTCAAATGAGGTGTCATGTGTGCCATATGCAAGTTACGATCAAAATTAGTGATGGTTATGAACTATTGTAGCATTAGACAATGGGCCATTGTGGTGGTGTCGGGCTACCAAACTATCAAATTAAAGTTGGTTAAAACTTCTCGTATTTTGTTATGTTTCCATTGTGGTAAATTATGTTACAATCGCAGTGGTTCTTGGTTAAGATGGACGTTTATTTTTAGGTTGGGGTTCACTTTGTATTCTTGTAATGTTTATGCTGTTTGTCTGGGTTAATCATGTTTTCCTCCTTTTGGATTGAATGCTTAATAGAAGTGTTCTTTTCAACTTCATTCTATAAAATGTTATTATTACCTTACTACTGAAAGAAAAATCATGATAATGAACTACTTACAATTGCCATGGCTAATTCTAATTTCAAGCTCAAATAATTGGTTGAAGGTCATCTATGTCTTGATGATTATGCATTGACTTGAACCATGGGCACAGATCATCGTGCAATGCACGACGTCCCGCAACTAGTATATATATCTATCTATTTTGTTCAAGTAAAAACAAAACCGATGTCGATAAAAACTTTATGGCAACGTCCTTCAACTGTTCTGTCTTATAATGAAATAGGAGAACAATTTTGGATGCTAAACTAATTGACCATCAATCAGAGGGTGTGTGGAGGTATCCTATCCTTTTGATCACACATCATATGAAGCAAGCTTTGAAGGGCCTGTGAAATATACTCGGCGACAAACTCAGCATGAAGTTAAATTCCTAGGCAGACCAAACTTAGACCTTTTGCATTTGCTTTGATTCTATATGTTACTATTTTCCTTAGCATAGACAAGATGTACTTGGTATTCTTAAGAGTCTTTGTACAACTGAAGTCTTTAACTAATCTGTTCACTGGGCAAAGCATTACATGTTTCTCTTTATAGATCACTGTAACAAATTATGATCTCAAATACTTGCTAGACATTCTCTCTCTTATATTTTTATGAGTGATGATTGTTGGAGTCATTGAATATTATATAAGAATTTTTTTATTTTGTGAATTTATTTTTTATTTTATGAATTTATTGTCATTTTGATAATTAAATTGGCGATGGAAGCTTTTATGTCCTCTGGTGGAGGAAAATAAATATTAAAAAAAAAATTATTTTTGGGAATGTGGGGTTGGTGGAAGCAAATTGTTTGCCCAACTTATGCTATGTTTGGATAATGGATTTGAACATTGATTTGGAAAAGGAAAAGATACAATATGATGGTGAAAAATTGTGAATGAAATATAAATTTACTTTTTATTTCATTTCTCATTTCCTTTTCAAATCTCTACAGAAATTTATGATGCAAATACAATACTTGAAAAGGTTAGGCTACAATACTTGTCATAAATACCATATGTAGATTATAATCAAAATTGGTATTCGTTTCAAACTATTACAGTGCTAGGTTACAGGGTATTATGGTGGTGGAGCAAGTAAATTATTAAATAAAATTGGTTAGGATTTAATACTTATTATGTTGTTTGATTATATTTTAAAGTGATTACGAGGGATTATGGTGGTGGAGCAAGCAAGCTAGTAAGATAAAAGTGATTAGAACTTATTATGTGTTTGGTTATATTTTAAAATGATGTTTGTTATAACTCATTACAATACCTTTAGTTACAATAAAAATATTTTTTATTTACATGTTATGTCGTAAAAGTAATACTAATTATGATTTATATAAGAGTATCTATGATCACACAACATAATAAGAAATGAGACATAATAATCATTGATTTGATAATTTATTATTTCAATCACTATAATAAAATGTAACCAAACACCATTATACTAAATATTAATTTAAACCATAACATGCCTCTCACTACAATTGGATGTAACCAGCATTATTTTAGAACATAATCCAACATTAGAACATAGTCCAACATTCTAACAAGACATAACAAATTTAATTTAACAATGAGTTAATTACTTAATATTATATTTTTACAAAAATTTCGCTTTTCTTATCTAAAATTTTGTTAGTATAAAAAAAAATAAAATTAAGGTTTGACTTTTGTACCAAAATAAAACTTTTTTTTTTAATTTCATCAATTTAAATTCTAAATTTTGATTTGTTTTGAATTTAGTAAGCTTGATTTGAGTAGAGAGAAAGTCGAAGGTGATCAATTGCGTCGGAACAGTCGCTGTTGTCACAGTCCGGCACCAGAGGCTAGGGCTTGGAACGGGGCGTGTCTACGGCCTCGCAACCGGATCGGCCATGCTTGGTTCCGCCATGGACCGCCTTGTCCTCCGTCTTCTTCCTCAGCCTCTGTGGCCCGATGTCAAGGCAGACAATGTCAAAGTCGTTCCCGTTCGAAACACCTTCACCAGAACCCAATCTCAGGCCATTGGGGTCAGGCAGTGAGGTTGTTGATTTGTCACGGCCACATAAGCAACAACATAGTCATTATACTCCATCACCAGAACCTGAAACAAAACAATTACTTTTTTCATAGCTAGTCTCTCTCATCTCTTTTTTTTCCTTGTCTTTTGTTCATCAATATCAGTTCCAGAGAAATTCAAAATTTCTCTGGAGATAAATTCAGAGCAGAATTTCTCTGTTGATTGGTGTGAAATGGCAAGAGTAAATGGAAATTTGAAAGTGAATTTTGAGTCAAACTATAAGGGTGAAAATTGTAACTGACCCATATTTATTTTTCTGTTCTATATTTTGGGGGGCTTTGTTTCATTGTGGTCATAATGAATGACTAGTGGCGGGTGCACATGCTATGTCTGCACGGTACACGTGTGCAACTTTATATCTAATTTCTTGGATGGTTGTCTGAAGCTACGGTTGTTGCTGAAAAATTGCATACATGATTGCATTTATGTTGGCTGCAGCTAGGCTATGTTAGGTTCATTTGGTGAAGGCTAGGCTATGTTAGGATCAGTTAATAACGTATAAAATAAAGAGGAATGTTGAATATTGGGTAACATGGATTAGGTATTTTTATTGGATAAAATCACATAACAATAAACTATTCAAACTTCAATGCATGATTATCATCAATGGTTCAATTTACTATATAATCCAACTTGGTAAATGCTATGTTTAAAATGAGGAAAGAGGACAGAAAGTTATTGGGACAAAGGCCAAAATAACTTATTCCCACATCATGAAATGCCAATACTAGCTTGGTAGTAGTAGCAGCAAGTTTTTGTCAGGCTATTTGTTAGAATTTACCATCACCTACCACCAATTTACCACCACCTACCACCTACACCTACCATCACCTACCACCAATTTACCACCACCTACTCCTCACCTACCACCTACACCTACTACCACATTTTCTTCTATATATATGATCATTGTAAACAATCAGATATCAATCAATAACAATCAATATTACATAAATTTCAACATGGTATCAGAGCAGGTTTAGCACCTAATATTTTTTTGCTTCACCGGCGGGCGGCAACCTCACCTTAGCCGTCCGCCGGACCTCAACCTATTCCGCTCATTTTTATACACATACCTTCCCATCACTTGCCATGTCTGCAGTGCTTGCTACTTGTTTCTTTGTTCGAAGGCATCGCATAAGACGAGAAAGGCCTCGAGCTTCACATGTTCGTGAATTCCACAGGATGAGTAGTCGTCTAGTGAAGGCAATGCCAAGCCTAATTTTTACAGCTGTAGTAGAGGATAATTGTACTTCAGCAACGTGCGCTCTATGTCTTGAAGACTACAACGTTGGAGAGAGGCTTAGAGTACTGCCATGTCGACATAAATTTCATGCGTTTTGTGTTGATGCTTGGCTAACCACATGGAGAACCTTTTGCCCTGTCTGCAAACGTGATGCCAGAACTAGCACAGGCGATCCACCGGCATCAGAACGCACACCGTTGCTTTCGTCAAGCTCGGCTTCTGTTGCTTTATCTTCGGTATTGTCATCCGTAAGATCATCTTTAGCATCATCTTCAGCAATTCCAATGGCTGATGCTTCTGCAACGCCCCTACATGTGAAACAAGACAATGAAGAAGAAGAACAAGATCAAGAACACTCCAAAACCCAGAAACGAATTTGCGATTTCTGTGGAGAATCTCAATCTCTCTTGTACTGCAGAGCCGACTCTGCAAAGCTCTGTTTCTCTTGTGACCAACAAGTCCACTCCACCAATCAGCTCTTCACAAAACACACTCACTCTCTTTTTTAATATTTCAACCCACTCTTTCTCTTGCCCCACATGGGCATGTCTCCCCCCACTCATTCTCTCTCTCCTATTTCTACTTTCCAACCAACCATTTTAATATTTCAACCCACTCTTTCACCCCGTGCTTTGAGCAGTGATTGATTTTTTTTTATTTTTTATTTTCCTCTTCTTTTTTAAAACAAACATCATCATCTCATTTTTTAAAACCACTCTCTACGCACTAGCATCTTAATATTCTTTCTTTCTTCTGTTTTTTATTTTTCTTTCCCATTCACAGCCCCATGTGCACCATTCATCTTCTTTATTTATTTTCTTTATTTATTTATTTATTTATTTATTTATTTATTTATTTATTTATTTATTTATTTATTTATTTATTTATTTATTTATTTATTTATTTATTTATTTATTTATTTATTTATTTATTTATTTATTTATTTATTTATTTATTTATTTATTTATTTATTTATTTATTTATTTATTTATTTATTTATTTATTTATTTATTTATTTATTTATTTATTTATTTATTTATTTATTTATTTATTTATTTATTTATTTATTTATTTATTTATTTATTTATTTATTTATTTATTTATTTATTTATTTATTTATTTATTTATTTATTTATTTATTTATTTATTTATTTATTTATTTATTTATTTATTTATTTATTCTGCCATTTTTTGCTCCACCGACCGCATCGGAAAGTTCAACGGAGCAAAACCAGAGGTGTTTGGTTGAGGTTCACTGGCCACCGCACCAGTTATTTCTCTTGTGGATTCGTTCAGTTCTGGAAAGAGCGTGAGCAGACCACGGGAAGAGGAGGCCATGTTCTGGGTAGCTGGACGGGAAGAAGAGGCCATGTTGCTAAGTGTTTCAGAGACGGGTTTGTTACAGAGTATTACAGAGTTTCTCTCTCAGCAAAAGAAGAGTTTTTTCAGAGGATTTTCCGCCATGTTGCTAAGTGTTTCAGAGACGGGTTGGTTACAGAGTATTACAGAGTTTCTCTCTCAGCAAAAGAAGAGTTTTTTCAGAGGATTTTCAGAAGTTTTTTGTCTGCCTCAGCCTCAGCATCAACCTTGGTTAAATAGCCAAGGCAGCCACGCGCATCATGCGCCGCTCGGCGCTCAACGGCAACCTGGACACACCTTTTTATGGCACGCCTTTTGATGGCACGCCTTTTGATGAATTGAGCACGCCTTTTGATAGATTGGGCACACCTTTTGAGGGTGCGACTTTCACGTGCCTCGCCATCATATCTGGCACGCCTTTTTATGGATTGGGCACGCCTTTTGATGGCATGCCTTTTTGAAAGATTGGGCACACCTTTTGAGAGTGCGCCTTTTTAAGGGTCCGACAAGACTCTGTAAACTGTCCCGACACTGATTCCGATTAGCTCCTTCAGGGATCCGACAAGACTCTGTAAACTGTCCCGACATTGATTCCGGTTAGCTCCTTCAAGGGTCCGACAAGACTCAGTAAACTGTCCCGACATTGATTCCGGTTCGCTCCTTCAAGGGTCCGACAAGACTCAGTAAACTGTCCCGACATTGATTCCGGTTAGCTCCTTCAAGGGTCCGACAAGACTCATACAGTGTCCTCTACAACGTTATGACACCACCATACAGTGTCTTCACCAATGGTCTGACACGACCATCCAGTGTCTCTTATCTTTTTTTATTTTTATGTATTTTCTTGTTTTGTTCCTCTCTCCAAACTCAAGTTGGTTAGTTTCTATCCTCCTTGAGTTTACGGGGGACTGTTGAAATTTATCAATAAACCTACCACCACTACCACCTCACCTACTCCACTAAACCTAACCCACTACACCACTACCACCTCACCTACTCCACTAAACCTAACCCACTACACCTACATCTATATAAGGAACCATTTGTAATAGACAGAATAAATCAATCAATAACAATCAATATTACATAAATTACAACACTACATATTCAGGTTATTCAGTTGTAAATCAGTTTAAACATGTTCGTCAATCAAATGTTGAGGCCCTATTAGAATACTCTTTCTTTTTTATAACCAAACCAAACTAAACCTTGTGTCCCAATCCAACTAACAAAATTTAGAATTGACTGTCAATAATTGAAATATAAAATTGGATTAAATTTCTGAAACAAAATTAATTATCAATCTAGGTCAGACATAACATTAGTCATGATCATATAGATTGGTGATTCCAGCCATCATTAGCCATTTTATCAATATAGCAACCGATAAGACATAAAACAAGCCTTGCTGCGGTAGAGCAGTGCTTCATTATAAGAAAAACTATATATAAACTTATTTTGTGATTATTGCACAGAATTGTTATATTGTACTAGTTAAGTAATTTTCACAATTATAAAATAGTAGGCATCACAAAAAAAATGTCACAGAAAATAATGGACTGTATAATTGAGATATTCTTATTCAACTAAACTATAAAATTTTCTTCCTTTGACAGGCTAATAACTTTCGGGACACTGTTCTAAAGGCATTTGGACATGACCATGTATGTTATGATATTTCAAAAAAAACTAAGCATCAATATCGTATGTTATTATGCTCAAATCAGCTCCAAAAAAAAAAAGGAGGAAGGCACAGTCACTTTTCCTAATCATCCCAACTCTCCTACAATAGCAAACTCCACACCAACATTGTAGCATTCTTACTACACAAAACAAGATCTAGTAAACCCCAACTATGCTTAGTAGCAAACTCCATAGCTCCCATGCTACCTGACAATGAGGGAGAAGATGATAAACAGTTTCCTTCTCGGCCCTTTGATCTAAACATGCGCTAAAAGTTGGGATGTGGGGCTTTCCAATACTTCTCTGGCCATTTTTAAGGTTCATAAACACGGATAAGCGTGGAGTTTGTAGGAAATAAAGAATTTGTGAATTGTAAACAAATTAAATTTAAAATTATAGTTGTAAAACCATTTGCGTACAAATACAAAAGTAAAAAATCAAAAATTAAAAATCAAATAAACATAAAAATGTATAAAGAAAAAAAAAAATTCTTAGAATGTACAGACTATATATATCCTTTGTTGGGTCCCTGCATGGTTGTGACTTGTAATTCTTAAATTTAGATTAGTAAGTTTTTATACTTTTGTATGATGAGTGGATGTAAAAATACTATTTACTGTGTTTGGTTTGAGTTTTCTGGATTAAATTTTTTGAAAATTGAGTTTTTTGATTTTCGTGTTTTTTTGTTTTTAGTGAATATTTTTAAAATTTTAAACGTTTTTTTTACTTTTTTAGATGCACCTTACTTAGATGTGTCTAAAAAGTAAAAAAAATTGTGAAAAAATATTTTAAAAAATTAAGAAATACATAAAAATACAAAAAATGTACTAAATTCTTAGATTTTTTTTGTATTTTTGGTATTTAGTGAATTTTAAAAAAAAATATTTACAATTTTTTTACTTTTTAGGTGTATTTATGTTAGGTGTGTCTAAAAAGTAAAAAATTTGCATAAAATATTAAAAAAATTCAATAAAAACAAAAAAACACGGAAAATAAGAGTGTAGAATTTTCTGAAATCTGTTTTTAAAAAATGGAAACCAAGCAAAGTGATTTTTGTTGTATCCTGAATTTCTTTTAAGAATGTTATGTCAGCTTGTCCATGTTGTATTGTATCCATGTACTACGTCCCATGTTTGTGTCCTTTTTAAAAAATGGATGTAAAAACTACGCAAACAAAAAGGGGCAAACCAACTTTTTGTGGCATCTACGGGTTTTTTACAGCGTTAAAAAATATGTTCAACCACCAGCTTGAGGTTTAGATTAAATCAGAATAAACAGTGCGTAGCATAACTGTGAAAAGCTTGAAAATTGGAGGGTAGTAGTGACAACAGAAGCTAACACAATTAGAACTGTGAAAACCTTTAAAACATGTTCAAGCTTGAGTAAAGCTTAAACATAAGTTAAGACACCATTTAGAGAAATATATGCAAAATATGTATAATGTTTTCAAAATATTATGCAGACATGTACGTAATCACATACCTGTATAAGTTTCAAAACCTCAGGATTAGAAAAACCAAACATATCAGAACCAGAGTCAAAGATCCCCTCAAACCCCCCTTTGGCTATAAAACCATTAGAACTGTCTTGTCTCTTCCTTATCCTTTTGCGGATTTTATTCCAGCAAGCAGATGGAGTGGATCCTTTGAACTACAAGAAGAAATTATTAAAAAACAAAACTACATTCAATAAATGAAATGGCTCAAAACTGTCTTACATCAACTGAAATGGCTTATAAATAGTCAATAGATATATAATAAAGTCAGTTGTACAATAATATTAAGATTTTAGTAAACACAATATTGATGAAGGGTTGACTCAAATTTATAATGCTCACACTTCAGAAGTTCTGCGCAATTGACTTCACAGAAACTAGAAGACTAGATGTATCATGCAGGAAGAAATGCTTTGCCACTTCATTCAGTGATTAAGAATCTTAGCAATCATTTATAATTTGTATATATCACACTGATCTTCTATTGTTATCAAACTGTTAAAACCTATCACCTACTCCACCCACTTAAACCTACTCCACTAAACCTAACCCACTACACCACTACCACCTCACCTACTCCACTAAACCTAACCCACTACACCACTACCACCTCCACTTCACCTACTCCTTACCTACTACACACTCACCCTCTTCTATATATAGGAATCATGAATCATTGTAATAAATATCAAGATACATCAATCAATAATACAATTATCTATTTCTCTTTATACATTAAATTTCTACATGGTATCAGAGCAAGGTTAAGAAGCTAGTAATTCTGCTTCACCGGCAGGCGGCAGCCTCGCCTTGGCCGCCCGCCGGACTTCTACACATACCTTCACTTTCCTGCATCTTCCAACTCTCTTTATCATTTTGGTGCTCCTCTCCTACTGCACACTCATGTGATTGATTATCAAATCGTTGAGCAAGATCTTCAAGGTGTTTCTCATTTGGCTGTGGCTGATCTGAAGTAGATGTGTCATCTTCCTCGAAGTGAGCATCATCTTCCTCAAAACCTGCAAAGGGTGTCGAGAAATCATTCTCTCTTCTGTCACCTTCTGTCAACTTACTTCTCCAAAGGCTTCTTTCTTCCACACGGCCCTTCAAATGCAAGCAATTTCCACACACTCTCACTTGGCTTCAAACAGAACCCCATCCTCTAAAAGCTCTAACAGCACACTCCTCAATTTATCAACTGAAACTGGTTTCATAATAACTCCGTCCATACCAAACCTCATGCAATTCTCTTTTGTTACCCTGTCTGTATTTCCAGTACATCCATAAACACCACCTTGTGTTCCTCGGATACAATA